ACACACACACACACACACACACACACACACACACACACACACACACAAATAAAAGCATTGTCTTGTATATGGTGTATTTTGTAGTACTGACTTTTTTTAAAAAATGTATTTGGTACAGTGTCTCACTACACAGCTCTGACTCCTAGTGATCCTCCTTTTCTAGCCTCCCCTGCGCTGGGATTACAGGCCTGCGCCACCAAGCCCGGTCTCGTGGCCTGCTCCATGTACCTGGGCGGGGCCAGCATGACCAGAAATAGAACTGGGTCCTTGCGCTTGCCTAAGCAGGCACTTAGACTGCTGAACTGTCTCCGCAGCCCCGTAGTACTGACGGCTATCTTTTTTTTTTTTTTTTTTAAACTTCTATCTTGATTTTATGTATTTAGTACAGGGTCTACAGGGTGCCCCTACACAGACAGTAGCGATCCACCTGTTTTCAGCCTCCCAAGCACTGGGATTATAGATGCACGCCACCACATGCCCGGTCTCAATTGCTGTCTCAGCCACTCCAGGGGTTGATTTCCAAAAGCCTAATTCCTTCCAGACGGGGCTGTGGTAAGCATCAAATGAGATGAGGAGTGAGACGAATGTGGCACTACCTGGCACGGGACAGGGGCTCCATTGTGTTGTTCCCGTCCCTGGAACCTAACAGGTCACATTGGCCCTTATCATCCAACCAAAACTACACAAAATATGCCACACACTAGAAAAGAGCTCTAGCCAGGGAACATTCAAAATAAAATGCATTATGAGGGATAGGATTGTAGCTCAGAGGTAGAGCGCTAGCTTAGCACGCATGACACCCTGGGTTCCACCCCCGTATTACCAAAAAATACAAATAAAATAAAAATATATTATGAGTAGGAAACTGCATGTGTGGGACTCGCTATCTCAGTATCTCCCTCCTTTGTGTCCTTGCTCTTTGGATTTTGAGACGCAGAATCACAAAGCAGCTCAGGTTCACTTTGTAGCCCAGGCTGGCCTTGAACTTGTGGGGATCTCCCTGACTCAGCCTCCTGAGTGCTGGGATTGCAACCAAGCCTGGTTCAGTCCTGAGTCTACCTATTCAGAGCAATCCTGGAGGCAGCTCCCACAGCTATACCAGGCTGCGGGGGCTGAGCCCTGGCAGCCCGGGTCTCTTCTGCTCTTGTAGCTGGAAAAGCTGTGTTCCTTCCTGAAGCTACTGTCCACAGGGTCACGTAGAGGCTGGCCTCAGGACCTGGGTCTCCTGACCAACCGGGCTCGTCCTTGTCCCCAGGCGTCAGAAGACCCAACAGAGCCTTGCCACTAGAGGACAAGGAAGGGAGCAGTGGAGGAAGGGACTGCCATTGACAGCCCAGGTAAGACCACAAAGGCAACATTTGTTATGTTAGTCAACAGGTCAGCAGGGCCTGGTCACCATTGTTCTTAGAGAAGTGCCTGGTTTTCCTCCCTGGTGTCAGGGAAAGTTAGCCTGCTGCACGTGCATGCATGCACGCGTGCTCTCTCTCTCTCTCTCTCTCTCTCTCTCTCTCTCTCTCTCTCTCTCTCTTGTGTGTGTGTGCACGTGCACCCCCCCCCCATCTCCTGGGAGCTTAAGGGCCCAAGGTCCCTTCACCCTCTGGAGGCGGGGCCCCATCCTCACATGTGCCCCCAGGCAGGCCCAGACTGACGCAGCCAAACGGTGACAAAGCAGGACTGGGGGGGGGGGAATCTGTAGTCAGCTCTGTCACAGTCTAGATGTGTGGCCTTGGGAAGGACTCTAATTTCTGGGCCTCAGTTTACCAAAACATCTGATACTCTATTACTGTATCCCTGAGTAAACATAAAACAAAGTAGATGCACACAGTGGCAGACACAATTCTGCTTCCCTGAACACACGCACCTCTGTCTCTGCCACTGTCCCCAGTTCCTGCATGTGTACCCCCACCCGCACAGGCACACACACGCGCACGCACACACAAGTGCACGCAGGGTCCTGTCTGTCCCAGGCTCTCTCCACAACCTCTAAAGAAGAACAGGGTAGAAAGAAGAGAAGGCCCAGCTGGCTGCGATAGGGCGACCAGGACAGACGCCAGGGCTCTGACACCAGGAGGACAGAAGGGTAGACAGACAGGACCAGACACCTCCAGGCGCCACTGGCCTGGGGGCAGGACTGGTGGGTGCAGAGGGGACCAGGCAGCTCCTACCGTGCCTAGTTTCCACTCTTAACTGGGGAAACCAAATCCGCACTCCTACTGCTGCCTGGAGAGGCACGTGTGACCTCGATAGCCGACCCAGGCTCGCCTCCCGGCTCCTTCCACAGGCATAAAACAAAGCTGATACTCCTGGGCTCTCGCGGATCCAGCAGAGCCTAAGGGACCCTGCCATAGGACTGGGAGTTCTCCATAAGGGGGTGCAAATGCTGACACCCAGCCCCCCATCCGCAGGCCCCACTCATCCATTCAGACAGGGCTCGGAGGCAGCTGCCAAAAGCCCTGTCGGTACCAGCACAGGGTTTGGGTTGCAGGAGAAAAAGCCCACACGAGTGGAATCCAGAATCCGCGCAGGCCCTCGGGCAGCCCCCCCCCCCCAGCAGGCCATCCGGGGCTTGGAAAATCCCCTGCCGCGCTGAACAAACACTGCGAACAGTTGGGGCCCAAGCAGCTGCTGGGGCTGTCAGCAACCCGGGCTGTGGCGGGCAGGACTGCGGCCAGAGGGGACAGGGCTGGCGGGGGAGCCGAGCCCTTCCTGAATATTCATGCATCAGCAGATGTCTGGCTAAGCCACCTTGGAGGAGCCTGGAGCCCGGCAGGCGGGAACAGGGAATCCGACAGGGGTGGGGATGTAGCGAGAACCTCAGAGGTCCCTTCCTAGAGCATAGGGCTGTGCCGGGGGCCCAAGATGGACCACTTTAGTGGAAATGTCTTTAAAGCCCAGGGACCCCCCATTGTGCAGATAGGGAAACCGAGGACCAGAAAGCAGGTTCTCATCTCTAGGAGACAGAGTTGGGGATTTCCTAAGTCTGGCATCGAGTGCCCCTAGGAGGGCCCTTTCCCCTTCTTCTCTTGTCTGGGTGGACAGCAAGCGCTGGTGAGGCAAAGGCTGGGGCTGGAGCCAGAGGCCCGAATTCCAGGCCCAGTCATCGCTGCACGACTGTGATAAGCTCCTGGCCTCCCCTCCACCGTTTCCTCAACCTGAGAGAGAGGACTCTCCAGATTTCTCCAAAATTCTTATGGAAATTCCCCCAGCCACACAGGAGAACCTATGTCTGAGGCTCACTACCTGGACTGTTTTCATTTTTAAACCTCTAGCACATATTCTGCTCCACCACACAGCCACGTATGTTTTTATTTTTTATTTTATTTTATTTTTTTTGAGAGACAGAGAGAGAGAGAGAGAGAGAGAGAGAGAGAGAGGTGTGTGTGTGTGGCCAGCTCAGCCCACCAGGGGGCGGGACTGGCTGGCATGTGGTGCTGGGGGATTGAACCACGGTCCCTGATGCTTTGCCAAGCTTGTTCTAAGTAGGTGCTTTAGACCACTGAGCCATCTCTCCAGCCCACGTATGTTTTTATATAAATTGTGCTTCCAGGCTGGGGAGATGGCTCAGTAGAATAAGTGCTTCCCTGGCAAGCGCAAGGGCCTGAGTTCAATTACTGGATCTACAAAGAAAAAAAAAAAAAAATTGTGGCTCCTCCACCACCAAATCTTTTCGCAAAAATGATGCCCTGGGAGCTGGACGTGGTGGCACAAGCCTGTCATCGTGGCACTGGAAAGGCTGCGGCAGGAGGATGACCGCCAGTTTGCTGCCAGCCTGGGTTGCATAGAGACCACGTCTCACACACATAAGGAAGGTGAGGCTCTGAGTGGTGGGTCCTCTCTGCTACTTCCAGTGCGCTGGACCCCAAATGTTCCCTGAAAACATCTGTAGCCTCCTTTCGGACTGGGG